AAATAAATTACTATTTATTTAATTTATTTCTTATTACATAATTTTGCTTAATTGTTTTTTTAGTTATTTGATGCTTATTACTTAAATGGTCTATTAAGATGCCTGTTGAACTTCTATGCTAATATTTTTTACCACATATTTTACTTGTAATAACTTCTACTTGACATATAGCAATTCTATCATTAGATACAAACCAATCCTATACCCAACTTCTTTTTATGATCCTCCTCTTTTTTTTGAATTTTATTTGAATTATTTTGATTATTTTCAATAGAACTTGAATCCATGTTTATAAATTTATTAAAAATTTATTAAAAAATTTGAAAACTTTTTACAAAAAAAAAAAGAACGCATGTGAAAAAAAAAGGATGTATAAATCAAAAAAAAGGAATATGTATAACAAATATTTTATGAAACAACCAATCTTTTTTAAAGTTAGATAAAATAAAAGTTTTATATAAAAATTTTATAGAATATCTTAATTGTTTTACAAAGCAGATTAATCCTTTTTTAATTAGCTATTTAAAGTGTGTGTAAATTTTACGCTAAAATCAAAGAAATATTTATAATATCATTCTTGAATCAAAAAAAGTGAAATTTATCTATTCCTTTTATAATCTAAGTCAAAATCACAGTTCAGGAAGGCATCCTCTAAAAAAAAGAAGTAAAAGGAATGATAATAGTATTCCAAAGACAAAGAAAAAACAAAAACAATTCCTTATATCACTTACCTTTATAATCTAAGCTGAAATCCAGATCCAGAAAAGGCGTCTCCTAAAGAAAGAAGTAAAAGGAACATTAATAGCATTTCAAAGACAAAGAAAAACAAAAAATACTACAAGAAAAGAAATAAAAGAAGCGTTAATGGCATTCCAAAGATAAAAAAACAAAAATAATCCCTCACACTACCTTACCTTCATAACTCAAGCTGAAATCCAAGTTCAGAAAGGTACCCCCTAAAGAAAAGCAAAAGGAATATTAATAGCATTCTAAAGATAAAAAAATAAAAACAATTTTCACACTACCTTATCTTTATAATCCAAGCAGAAATCCAGATTCAGGAAAACGTTTTCTAAAGAAAATAAGCAAAAGGAATGTTAATGGCATTCCAAAAACAAAAAAGAATTCCCTATATTACTTTACCTTTATAGTTCAAACTGAAATCCAAGTCCAAGAAGATGTCTTCTAAAAAAAGAAGTAAAAAGAACGTTAATGGCATTCCAAAAATAAAGAAAATTAAAAACAATCCCTACACTACCCTACCTTTATAGCTTAAGCAGAAATCCAGTCCAGAAAGGCGTTCCCTAAAGAAAAGAAATAAAATGAAAGTTAGTAACATTTTCAAGACAAAAAAAGGAAGAATTTTACACTTACTGTTTGAATTCAAGCTGTTCAAGTCAAAATTTAGAATAAAAGATTCAGGAGGAGAGAGGAAGAGAGGGGAGAGAGAGAAAGAGAAAAAGAGAGAGTGTGTGTGTATGTGTGTAAGTAATGTAATACCTAGATATTATATTATCATTATTGTAAAAAAATAAAAATAAAAATAAATTTATGCTTACTTAAATCGAATTGATTGTCTAATTTGTTTATCAGATATCTGATAGTCTATCTGGTCAATCTGGTGATATAAATAGATCAATCTGAATCTGGTCAAATTTCAGATGGATGACCGGATATTCAGATTGATCAGATTTAGAGCACACCTCTAGCATAGACTATATATAAACCTAAAACTATTCTTGCTGAATTTGATGAATTTTCTCAAGGACAAAAATATTCTTTTGATAGTATAACAATTTCTCAATTTAATAATAATATTTATAAATATTAATGTTAGATTCAAGAGCTTATCCAAAAATTGGAACTGTTATTACACAAATTTTTGGTATTTGTATTAATGTTGCTTTAGTTGAAAGATTATGAATTAGTATCATATTAAGAATAAAAATAGATTAAAGGTAAATAATTTGATTAATTTTTGATTTAAAAAATATTTAGTTATTATTATTTTATATTTATTTTATTTATTTATTTTATTAATTTTTTTTAATTATTTAGTCTAACTAGATATTAGATATAGTTAAATTATATGCTAATATGATATATAATCAACACCTTTGTTAAGATTTTAATATTATTATTTCTAATTTAGAATTTACTTTAACTATACTGTAAAATAATTTAGAATATCAAGATAATAATAATACTATTGAAACAGAAAAAAATAATTTACTATTAATATAAGAAATGAAAAAGCATTAGAGAATGTTAATAATAATTATGGTAAAGAAGATATAGAAACTATTTCAAAAAGGTTTAATGAAAATTTGGCTGAATGGTTAGAAATACTTAAAAATATAGAAGAATTATCAGAATTTTAGATATAAATGTTGAGGATATTGAACATCTGATTCAAAATCATAATGCAAAATAGAATTTAAATATTATATTTAAAGATAATTTATGTTGTTCTTTTGATTTTTATAATAATAAAATTTTTCTATTAATGATTGGTTAATAAAATATTATAAATAATTTAATAATCACGTAATAATATTATTATTTTAATATATTTATACTAAGTTTTCATTTATTTAGTACAGTATAAGTATATTATACTTACTATAATTGATTATAAATTATTAGCCTTCATTAGGTATTATAATCAAAAATAAGACTAAACGAGATGCTAATTTATTCTTGAGATACAAAGAGATATCAAGTCTTATATATAATTAGAAATCTTAGATACACATAGCGAATAAATTCAACTACACCTTTTCAGATTTTTAGATAGGCACTGACTCTTTCTTTTTCTTCTCTTATTGATAGTAATTTTCATTAGAAATAAATTTAGTGTTCTAATACCTTTTCAATTTGTGAGTATTTAACTTTTCTATGACGAAAAGTCTTAATACTAGCTGATGTTGAGACTACTGCAAGCCACTTAGTTTTTTTTTCTAAAATTTTGAAAACTGTTGAGTGGTCAATATGAAGGCCTTAATTTTGCTAGTTGAAGTAGTTAGTAAATTGTTGTTGTGTTTTATTTTTATTTTCAGGTTTTGTAGCATATACACATATTTATTGTTTTATATCTTTACTTATTACAATACGCATTTTTTTTGCACTTGAAATAATTGGCATCTTAAGAAAAAAGGTAAGGTAAAATTTTTTAGACGCATTTATTTATTGATCATTTATTAATACTGTCAAACAATCTCTTAGTAAGTATTTTATTAAAAAAGTTAAAGAAACTGGTAAATTTATTATGGTTTAATAAATTAACAGTGTATTTTGTTAAAGAGATTAGAGAAACTGGTAAAATTATCATGGATATTATTGTAACACTCATTTTGATTACCAAATATTTACAGATAAAATCATGTGATATGACCATATAAAGGTCAAAAAGGGGATTAGACGTATAAATTTGGTATAATTGTGATTATAATCTTATTGTAACTATATAGAGGTCGTTTCTTAATTAAAAATTTAAGTATAAAAATCTTGTTAACTATATAGAGGTTGTACTTATATGGGGGTGACTATATAAAGGTATGACTATGTAATTTTCATTTTAGTGAAATCATAATCTGCAACTAGTATTTTACATAGATTCAGATCAAATTTGTCAGATTCAGATCTAATTCAGATTTAAATTTAGATCAGATCTGATCTATCAGATTTGAATTTAGATTCAGATCTGATCCATTAGATTCAAATTCAAATTCAGATCAGATTCGTCAGATTCAGATTAGATTCAGATCTGATCTGTCAAATTTGAATTCAACTTTTTAAAGCTGAAAAGTTCCTTTTTAATGAAAAGAGCCAAATTTTCAGACTTCTTTAGAGCTAAAAATTTGTTTCCTTTTATTGAAAAGAAATGAATTTTTAGACTTCTTTAGAGCTAAAAATTTGTTTCCTTTTATTGAAAAGAAATGAATTTTCAGATCACTTTTAGAACTGAAAAGTTCCTTTCATTAAAAAGAAACGAATTTCCAAAACTCTTTTAGAGTCGAAAAGGTTCTTTTTATTGAAAAGAAATATTTTCAGATCTCTTTTAGAACTGAAAAGGTTTTTTTCAATGAAAAGAAATGACTTTTCAGAACTCTTTTAGAGCTGAAAAGATTCCTTTCAATAAAAAGGAATGACTTTTTAGAACTCTTTTAGAGCTAAAAAGGTTCTTTTCAATAAAAAGGAATGACTTTTCAGAACTCTTTTAGAGCCAAAAAGGTTCTTTTTAATGAAAAAGAATGACTTTTCAGAACTCTTTTAGAGCTAAAAAAGTTCCTTTCATTGAAAAGAAACATTTTTGGATCTCTTTTAGAACTGAAAATTTGTTTTTCATTAATACTTTTAGATTTAGATCAGATCAGATTTGGACTTAAACTGATCCATTAGATCTGGATTTAAGATTTAATTTGTCAGATTCAGATCAAATCTGGATTTCAATAGATCTATCAGATTCAGATCAAATTCAGATCCTGAAAAATGAAAATTAGATTAGATTAGATTTAAATAAAATCTGATCTAATCCAATTTTGTAGAATACTATCTGCAACTATAAATGTAGTATTCTTACTAATCACTACTTTTTTTCCTTTCTCTACTGCAACAACTGGAAATTCAGGTTCACTAACCTTACAATAATACTTGTTATTTAAAAAGATCAAGTTTGTAATTTTATAGCAAATTCTTTCTCGTAGCAAAATAATGCTAATATGTAATAAATATCTTAATAGTAGACTTATAGCTAACGTATTTGAATTATGAACTTTAAAGGTAAACATCTAGTGAATTGTAATCTACTATGTCTTATTAGATTTTTAAGTCAAAATTGTAATCATAGCCATTATTCACTAGAAATTAGTATTTTAGATAGATATTTATATTCAATCTGATATAAAAAATCATTTATTGATATTGCAATTGTAAGATATATGATTGTGTCATACTTACATTTATCCATAGCAGTTATAGCATCTGCTACTTTTTTTATAAGAAATTGATCTGCAATTTTTTCAGAAAATATATTATTTATTTGGTCTTCCATTGTCATGTTCATAAAAATTGATGGTAATATCTAAATCTTCAAGTTTTAAAGCGAGTCTAATACGTTTATCAACTTTTGCTTTATTTTTAGTTTTAGTCATAAAGATGTTACCTATTAACATTCGTAAATTATTCAAAGTGCTGATGGCTTGGCTTTTGAAAGAAGTAGATCATATGTATGTAAATAATTCATTCTTATTATTTATGTATAATAACGAGATGCATCAGCTTGCAATTATTTACAATCTGTATATTCTCTTGTAATATCATTATTTCATTAACTTGTTCGTTGATTTTTAGATTAAGATTACATTAAAAGAATTATTTTTAGAATTAAATTGATATTCTCTGATTTTAAAAGGAAATGTGTAAGATAAATCCTAGATATAACGCATTCTTTGTCTATAATAAATCATTTTGTTAGATTTTTATATTAACAGTCTTAGTAATATCATTTTAGCATACTTACACAAGATTGGTTAGTAGGTATTCTTTAATATCAATTAGTTTTCATGATGATAAATCAGTGAATAAGTATTCAAGACGATAATATTTTAGCTTTATCAGCAGGCGTGATCCAAATGTTTCAGGTATAGATTTTAATTATTATTACTTAGTCAATAGTTCATATAGGAGTTTTTGATGCATGATTCACAGTAGCAATATCATGTTGATGTTGCAGAAATCTTACATAATTTAAAATAGCAATAATAAGATTGTCTAATACGTTACAGAGCTAGTTAAAATTTTTCATTAATATCTATGATGATGTAGCATATGGAGCAAGAGCTTGACAATGTAGATTTAGTTTATTTGTATCAAAGGATTTTTGCAATTGCTTGTATGATTGCACAGTCAAAAAACTCAAGGAAAAGTTCAGGTATGTGATAATTATGCTTTTCAAATTTCTGGTAATTACACATATCAATATACTAAATTATTTCAGTTAAGTTAATTATAAATTATTTTTCTTGTGTATTCGCATATAATTGAGTAGATCATCCTCTACCATGATGCTGAATCCAATCAACTAGGTCATTATGCAGCTTTTGCTTATAATTTGATTTTTCTAATTGTAAAAAGGTTGGTAAGTGTAATTTGGTTTGGTATGCATTTTGTATTAGAATTATAAGACTGTTTTGCTGTAGTATCAAATTAGGAATCATGTCATCAGTTTTGAATCAATAATGTATATTTTTTCTCATATTTATCATAAGTTCTATAATACTACAATTAAGGCTGATTTGGATTGTAATTGCAGTTGGTGTTTCACTTATTTCAACATGGTCTATGATCTCAGAATTTGCTATAATAATATTAGGCTTAGGGGACAGCTTTCTAGTTATAAGTTTTTTAAAAAATCTTTGATAGTCATTTTATAAGAAATAGGATAGATATACCATCCATGAAGAATTTTTGATCCTTTGATGATTTGAATATTTGCAAATGGCATTTTTACTAAATTGTAATAAAAGATTTGTTGAAAAGTTTACAGTAAAATATTGTTCTAACACATCTTTTCTTAGCAAATTTATACAATCAAATTCATTACGCATTTTTAATTTCTTTTATGACGCAGTTAGAAAAGGAAAAGTCATTTTTAGGGGTGCAGTCAGAAAAGGAAATCGCTCAGAAGCACAGTCAGAAAAGGAATGCTAATGATCCTTAATTCTTTAAAAGTATAAATTCATGCAAAATTTAGTTAACCGAAGTCATAGAATTGGTTTATTATAATAATATTATTGCTAGATTAAACCATCTGAAAGTCATCCAAGACAACTAGCAGGAAAATTATAATTGTATAACTATTTCATTAACGGAAACATTGAATTAACAACTTCACTTTTTTTTTTTTAATTTGATTTGACTTTTATTTTCGATAATACATGTAATAGTCTATTATATAAATACGCAGTACAAAAAAATTTTTTAATATATAAAATTTTAACCGGGTAGCCAGGTCATACAAAGTTAATGTTAGATATGTAAACCAATTTTATTACTTTGTATCGCCTTACCACAATTTGGGCCTGATATTTTTAATAATTTGTTATGCTAATAATTAAATATTTTAATGATATAATTTTTTACAAAATATGGTTTAATTAAAATAATATATTTTATGACAATATCCTATAAAATCAGGGATCAGCGTTTATTATAAAAAAAAAAAATCTTTGAATAATAAATTTTTACATGGTACAGTTTGTGTCACAATAAGCCATCCAATAAATTTATCGAACTTAAAAATGAAATAAAAATTTTTTTAGTGCCTATATTTAAAATATTTCAATGTAGTTCGATTGATATTGACTGGTGTTATAAAATG